CAAGGGATTCTAGGATGAGTATCAACAAAGTTCTAGTTGCTAAATGTTATTTGATCTCTCTTTGACATTATTACCCACTCAGAAGTTGTGACCTCTTTTCAAACCCTTTTCTTTGCAGCTGGCGGTGAGTCCTTTCCTTACTTTTGGCAGTTCAAAGAAGAAGATTCCTATTTGTGGAAGAACTTCGGCCCTTCTGACGATGTGGCTTTGGAAAAGCTCTATTGTGACGTGAATAATCTGCAAGTTACATTGAACCTTACCGATACTGCGTTGAGGTAAGTCACTGAGGTTAGACAGGAAGAGCAAGAGTGAGAATCTCACTGTTTATAATGAGATAACAGTTTTGAGTTGAGCTGTGGGGGAATGCAAGAATTGCGATAACAGGATTCCGCATGTATCATTTATCAGCATGCAACAATGATAATTGGTGAACGTTGATATTGAACGGCTTTGAAATGTTAGTATTTAACCATGAAAAAGTCAAAATTTTGAACAAAAATTATTTCAGTCGGGTTCTAAACTTAAGAAGGTTTGATTTTGTACTCTGATATTCCAGCTAAGAGTAGTTCCTGAGAAGGACTGTCCTTAGCAGCGACAAATGTTTCAACAACCTGAGCGCTTAAGGCGGTTCCTTGACTCTGATAATGTTCTTCCTAGAGTTAGGTGAAGACTTCCACCAAGTTGTCTAAATTTTATTAGCTACAAATGACAACAGTCCTCTTTAGGATTACTCTGCAGCGGATAATCAGAAGATAAATACGAATTTTTTCTTAGGGGTCAAACCATTTATTTATAAGAGGTTCATCAAAGTAATGGAAAGATTATGCAAGAGCTCATTTCTAGAAACGTATTTCAACACCATAATGTTTGATAGAATATGACTTGTATTTATTTATTTGAGTGGAAATATTTCGGCTAAATCGCTCGGCCCTCATCAGTTTTTTGAACTGTTAGTGGTTGTACAACATTAAACTACGTAACCAATTGCTCAAAGCGACGCCATACTGCTCAATGTTGTGAAATCACAGACTCTCCAACAGATTAAAGAGCGATTCAGCTGAAATATTCCAACGGGATTCAATAAGTTCCGGTTAGCTTTTTTTTTGTATCTCATGTCTTCGCTGCGTGAAAGTAACATGTTTGTTTCTTTTTCAACACTGTCTCACCTCGAGGCCCAGGCAAATTATTTTTCATTATCTTTATCATAATTTGAAACGATCGCTCCATTGTCGTTGGAGTAATACCGTTTTTTCTTCTTCTTCCTAGTGCGTCATCATCACAGGTGACAGTTCATTTCGAGGAGATGTCCATGCGCTCGCCCCCCTCTGCCCAGTTCTTGCTCCGTCGATGCTCAACACCATCTTACATACAGGAGCCAAACAACAAGTCATCCACACAGTGGGTCTGGTATTGGGCAGACAACGATGGTTGGAAGAAATACACTGAAACGATGGTAAGTAACAGTCGGGCGAAATATCCTGTTATAGTATTATTCGAGTGGCTTTACCGTCATTTTGTTTCTCAATTGGGCCAGGAGGGTTTTTCATAACAGAACGCTTTTACTTGAAAATTGGCGAAAGTCTTTGTTTGATAGGGTCTGATCGTGTGGTCTGATCTTCAAGTGGTCCCTGAAAAGGACTGTACATAAAACAACCATAACACTATGGCCACTGGCTTCTTGCTGATGGGATAAAAAATTGGGATACTGGCCGGGCAACTGACCTCTTATTAAAGTGTGCTAATGCAATTAATAAGTCAATAAATAACAGGGTTAAAAGACAAACGAACAACTGGCTCGTGAATACAACTTTGGACTCGCGATATTTATGCATGTGGCATTAAGTTGTTTGCAAACTGAACCAGAGTCAAGACAGACCTAGAGTTCTTTATCTACTCTTTTAGCAGTCGTCTGGGACAAAGCAAGAACAGATAGAGGCTGCCTATTTAAATGGAGAAGGCTTCTATCCCTTTCGAAGCAGTTCTCACAATTACATTCTAACATTCTACGAAACGCCTATGCACCAGATAAATATCGACCCGAACTTTCAGACCAGGCGGTTCGTAAGAAGAAGACCTGTGTTTGTTTCAAAACCAGCTTATCGCGCCACAAAGAGGTAAGTGAACGTGGATTGTGCTGTTGCTATTATCACTTACTAATGTATATGCAATTAGAGATAGAGGGACTCGCTTGGCTCAATTAACTTGAAGCGTTGCAGTCATGATTGTAATCTGATGTGAGGGGTTTTGGGATTCGTTGTGTGGTAAGGTCATCACCATCAGGTAATGAGCCTGCATACCTGTTAAACATCACGATTTGATGTTTCTTAAAGGAATAAATCTGCGTCCTCTCATCTCAATCATAAGCGTAAGGCCTTTCATGTTCCTCTAATATGTTCCGTTTTTATTACATTTTTAGTTATCTGAGAGGCAAGGCTAAAGATTTTGAACGGACTCGTTTGAAAAGAGAACCGCAAAGAATACCGAACCGCGAGTCAACGTTTTCACGAAACAATACCAGAAGACCAGGCCTACATTGTGATGGTGGAAGAAATTTGGAACGAAGAGTTACATGAGAGATACGAAAGGTGAACTTATAAAACGGTTAATATTGTTTATAGACAGGGATAAGTGTGTGAAGAACTTGCAAAGGACGACTGCACATCCTATATCTGAAGCTGACTTCATATTGATTTAGTTTTTTTGTTATGTTTTCATTACATCTAAGTGAAGTTTGGTCCCTTAAAATCGGAGCTTTACAAAAACTATAAAAAAAAAGAAGAAAATGAAAAAAAAGCTCGAGGGTGGAAAAAACTAATTTTTTTTCTAATCAGTGACGTCAAAAAGCTGTGTGATCTTTTTTCACACTGCCCTTCGAAGCATTTTTGCATACTTTATACTTTGGACCGAGGAAGTGCTTTTTGATCATATCACTCTTTTAACGATTACAAGTAAAATTGCCGCAAAAGGAAATTTTTCCTAATTATTTTATAGGTGGCTCAAGAAATTAAACAGACCACTTTTATCTGTTGCCGATGATGATCCGGTATAAAACAGCGAACAATGAAGATGGCCTTAAGCAATTATAGTTTTCTCAACTGAGTATATGATCTGTACTGTTTGAGCAAGCGCCTTGGAATTAAATAGCCCCTCAACCTTTTCCATTGTAAACGTTCATTGATTAACCCTGCTTTAATCGTTTCTTCATCTAGTAAGCGGAAAAGAATAGAAAGGAAACTGAAAGCAAAAAAGGAAGATCAGATAGAAAAATTGCTATTCCATGGTACTTCATCAGATGTCGTTGATGCCATCTGCAAGCAGAACTTTGATCACAGATTGCAAGGAAAGCATGGGACAAAGTATGGAAAGGGTAGCTATTTTGCTGTAGACGCTTCCTACAGTAATAACTACAGCGGTCTAGGTGGGGATAAGACGAGATTCATGTTCCTAGCAAGAGTTTTGACGGGGGAATATAAGCTTGGAATGCCAGATTTTCGTCGACCACCTCTGAAAGTTCCAAACGATCCTGCCAGCGATTTGTACGATTCATGCGTCGACGACGAAAATCAACCAAAGATCTTTGTCATATTTAATGACGAACAATGCTATCCTTCTTATCTAATTCACTATCAGCTGCTATAGTTTTTGGTAACAAAGTCAAAACATTAGAGCTTCATTACTGCACATCTTATTTAGAAGCAGTACAAGAGCTTCATTACCACACATCTTATTTAGAAGCATTATAAGTGCTTTATTACTACACATCTTATTTAGAAGCATTAATAGAGCTTCATTACTACACATCTTGTTTAGAAGCAGTACAAGAGCTTCATTACTTTGGTGTTAGGAATATGAATGGAAATAACATATTTACATAAACCATTCAGTTAAAAAAATATTTTAACTAGTTGATGATTTCTTATTTTAATGACGGTTTTACTTTGTAAGTAGAGTAATTGTTACCTTTTCTTTCTGAGAGAAACTAGCCATTTAAGTCCACAAAAGTTTGTGCTAAGCTGTTAGTGATTGACGCATATTAGCCAATCGCGAGTTCGACATGAAAGGGGATGTACAATTCTACGGTAATTAAAACTCGGCGCGAGGTATTTCAATTATCTTGTGGTAAGATATACTTTAATCAAGATAATTTGGTTGATGAACAAGAGAGTAATTTTATATGGAAAAAGTTAATCTCGTACCGGAATTCCTGGAAATTGCTACTTCTTATACCTTTGGTTCTTTTCAGGCGTGTTTTTTAGGCCAATTTCATGTCGATTTCTCGATCAAGAAAGTAAGTCTTAATTATTAATTTAGCACGTACAACACCTCTTTCTATAAGGAGATTAATGTAATTGTACCTTTCATCTTACGTACTAAATTTATAATTAGTTGACTTACATGAACGGCAAACAGTTCTCTTAGAGGGGTACTTAGGGTACGCCCTTTCTCCCTCTAATTCACCGTTTATTCTGTTGTTAGGCAAAAAGCTTCTAGAGTTTTTTTCTCTTTCGTTATCTTTTCAATTGAAATTCTAATCTACGCAACGGTTTCTTTATAATTTTTTATATCATCAATCTTGTTTTCGTTTTGGCCGATCTTAACCGGAAAAGTATGAAATCTAGGTAGAAAGTCGTTTTAGAAAGAGTAAACAAACCGAAGGTACATACTTAGTATGCGGGAACTGTTAAATGTAACTCAACGTGATTCGTTAGTGCAGTGAGAAATAGTGACGTTGGTCAAATATTGACAGCTTGCTACTTGCCACCTCTATAAGCTGGAAACCGACACTTTCCTGTAGATGATGTGTTACACCCCGAGCTAACAAGTTATTTGAGCCATCAAGAGAAGCAACAAAGAGAGTGTCAACTGTACAAGACTGTTAGAAATTTCCTCCAACAAAAGTACAGCGATCAGTGGAACATGTCAGTTACTGTCTGGATATTGATCCTCGCGCATGTCAAAAGATCTGCAACACACGTGCTGAAATTCTTCAGCATAATGCTCTTTTGGACTGACCATTGTCATAATTTCCTATGAATAAATTGACAGAATGTTTTCATTCCTTAAAAGAAAAATACATTCATTCCTTAAAAGAAAAATACATACTTAAGAGTACAAAGTAGATTAAAGGCTCTAAATAAGGTTTTCAGTCAATAAGCTGGGCGGCGTTGTTATAGAAATGTTTGCTCTGTTATCATTGCGATCAAATATAATTTTGCCGGAAGTTTAGTAATTGTTGTTGATGGTAATATCTCACTGTCAATATTACGCTGATTCGATGTTTTATATACCTGCAGAATGGATGTCGTAAGTTAAGGTCCAAAATTATGCAGAAAATTCAAATTACTATTTGCAGGTGTATATTTGCTTGCAGGTATGATAACCCACAGTGCGCTGCTATGCATTGTGTACCGTTCTTCATTACCAGGTCAAGTGCCTCAGCTCTGTCTGAGAAAACAAATAATGAGTAATTCTAAGAGACGGCTGAAATCGGCTAACATGTGAAAACACTTTTTGCCCCCTTCCCCCAAAGATTAAAACGAAAATACTCTGTATGTGTGTTTTCGCTGCACTGGAGCGAAAACAAGTTATTGGCCGAGGTTATACAGTCAATTTTTACTTCTTTCATATCATAATGTAAAGGTGGTTTTCCTCGTGACTTTTGCGTTACATCAATGTCTCAGTGTTCATGCGATCGGCCGGAGGCAGTCATATGAATATCACATGACGAGTCACTTATCTGAATGATTTCACCCATTGGTTACTTTCAGACAGTGACCTCGCTCTAAACCAGTGACCTCGCTCTAAACAATGATACGCTGTAAATCCAACTACCACAACGCACACGGGATCGATTCTCGGAAAGCATATCAACAACGTACGAACTCAGTTGCTTTAACCTACACATATTTCCCACAGATTCTTGCTGCACGCCATTAAGTGAGGTAAATCATTGTTACCTTTTTTTGGTAAGAAATATTAGCCCGTAAACGAGTCGATTTTCTCAATCGATCCGTCTCATTCTCCATTTGTTTGATTCAGTGTTGTACGGAAGTGGCGTCAGAAACGATCCCATGTTGTTTCCAAGGCATGGGGTTTTGAATCTTTCGAAACCGCTTTTGAAAACTTATCAAATAAGTTACCAAACAAAATAGTGGAGAAGGTTAAAAAAGGGGAAAACAAACAGAGGAAAAAACAAAGCGAAAATTAACAGGAAAAATACAAGATGAAATATTATCCTCACTAATGCATATGATGTCAAGTATTTTCTTCAGACTGACTGTCACCTAATACCTTAATTCAATTTGCGCCCTTACACTTTTTAAACTGAAAAAAATGATATTAATAATAACAATTAAAAAAAGAAGAAGGGAAGGCAATTATCAACGTTATGTAGTAATCCATGAATCCGCGAAATCTGGCTGCCACAGTAAAACCATTGATATTGAATCTGTACGCATTTGCTGTTTCATTTTTTTTCTTTTTAACTAACTTTTCTACTTAGTACATTTTTGTCGCAATGACATCAATACAGAAGGGATTTCTCGGAATCCGTTCAAGAAGGGAACGTTTGTTCGCGCAATTTTTGATTCGTTAGACCTTTATTCATTCGTTTGTTTGTTTACTTATCATTATCTGTAAGCTTGTAGAAAAACAATTATTATGTAAAACTGCCAACATTGAAAACTTTGGGTTACAGCCTGTTCAAAAGGGTTTAATTACCCTGTTTCCTGCTGTGGTTGCATTAAATTGTTTTCTTTGTTGCTCAAAGTTCAGACGCACTGAGAAGTTTGCTGCCCTAAATTTACCTATTTTTATTTTTATTTATTTATTTTCTTCTTTTTTTCGGCACGCAGAGCCGGTTATAGCGGCAAATAATGCTTTGGAAGCTTGCTTGTATATTCTTCTGTAAACAACATGAATGCAATCACTGCCTGCAGTTTGCCAGGTTTTAAAATTTCTTAAAGTTTAGATTCTCCCCATTCCTCTGTTTAAATTTTCGCCTCTGAATATATATTTTTTAATCTATCATATTTTAATACCCTAAAACAAACACTCTACTTAAATTGTATTTTTTTTCTACTGGCTGTTCTCATAACTACTTCCTTTGTTAAAGTTATACTGTCTTTATGTAGCTTTTAGAATTTTGGAGACTGCGAAGTACACCAGATCTAACGTCAGTTGATTTAAAAGATGCCAGCAAGTATGTCAAAATGGTGATATTTGGAAGTATATTGTTTTTCTGTCGTTGTTGCTTTGTTTTTGTAGCTGTTTTTTTTTTAATTAGCTATCACTTTTTAAAATAATAAGTCTACATGTGATAGGCAGAATTTATCATTGTGGTTTTAGAATTTTGCCAGAGCAGACATGTAGGATCTTTGCAATGTTAAAGTCGCTCAGTCATCTAAGAAATCTAAAAGTTAGAAGGATAGAAGGTCGTTAAAATCTTCATGCCTTCCATCTGTATAAGATTTTTTCTTCGCCTACCTTTACCTCATAGGATTCATTGGACACCTGCCAAATCATGTCTCCCACTCCTTCTTCCCCAACCTTTCAAAAACCCGACATTACAACATTCATTTTTTAATAAAAGAAATAACAACCAGAGACATCGTTTGTTTTTGAGAATACATAAGCCATTTCTATTACTCTTTTTAAGCTCTGAACTGTGAAACTGGTACAAAAAGTTATAACATTACATTTCAGCATTCGCTTTAGCGACTATGGCAGCTACCGTGGCTGTGGGGTTAATAAGTGTTGTACTCAAAGCTGCGTGGAGTGATGGTGAGTAAAATCTTTTAAATATATTTTGGGAAACATAAGCAGTAGATGTATGGAGGTACTGAAGGCCGCTGTATAGTAGGTACTGCAGCTCTTGGCTAACAAATGTTAAACTTCCTCCTCGACATTGAATCGTAAACTAAATGTTTTCTTCTTTGATATAAATTTTTACAAAACGGGTCAAGAAAAAAATCGAGTCAAGTAATTAAGATTAAAATTATTTCCTTACAAGTGTGGATAAATACAAATACCAGCTACTAGTTGATTCTGACCGTTTGACACCGAGAAGGTCATGAAGATTTTAATGGAATAGGTACTGATCGAATATCGGCGAATCATTGTAGCATCTCAATTGTCTTTGTTTGTTTGTGCATCTAGAGTCCAATGGAGACTTTCTGCTCTTTCATGACCGTGTACTCGGAGTTAATTATGATTAAGTTGATAAGTTAGTGAACTGCACGAGAAATTATTTATTCCTTTCTTTCAGAAGAGCCGGCGAAAAAAGGAGGAAGTGAAAGTCACAAACAAAGCGCTGCAGGTATGCACAGTTGATTGTACGAGAATATTTTCAAAAGTATGGTAGTGCCTTTTATCGAATTATGGTAAAGGTTTCTGTGTAACTATACCTCTTCTCCTGGAAATGAAAAAAATAATTGAATGTATTTTTCCCCTGGGAGTGGAGGGACGAGGTCACAACAGAGAGAAAATGGAAGTCTGAATCGTAGGGAAGAAGGTATTGTTGTTATGCCTATCCGAAGTAGATTTGAACTATCAGCGATATGCAGGAAAAGGGGCCTACGGATAAGAGGTCTTCTCAGAGAGAACTAAAATGTCCAACCATCCGCAGTTTCTGCTCAAAGGCAGCACACTCTCCTCAGTTATATGATGAAGCTGAGTGTTGGTCTGACTAGGGCTTGTGTCCTTGACGGTCTTCATAGTAGTCTGACGCTACAAAATGATCGAACCAGATGGAAGTTAACAGTAGAACACAGTTAAAACGAATTCAGGGGAATTATGGTAACTGTCTCTAGGAATCGTTTTAGAGTTCAAGACAGTGTTAAAAAGTTTGCATACGAATGTTCTTTCGGAATCATCAGAACAACTTGCATTTCAAACTATTCCCAAATAACTGCGGGAAGAGTTTCCAAAACCCAAAGAACACTTACACATGAATTTTTCCCTTTTACACTGGTGTGAGCCCATCTTTTACTTTCTTATGGTCTGTAAGTTGATTTGTTAAGACTTAAACCGGTGACAACTCATCCTTTAACGTTGCACTTTTGAACGTTGCACGTTGAAATTTCTTTTGCTTTAAATCTCAATTCTTTCTTTGTTTATTCCATTCAGGTAGTGTCAGCCAACTAAGTACAGAAATACAAGCATTATAATGTGGAAGTAATTATTTGGCGGTTGTCTTTCAGTAAATCAATAGTGCCTATGCCTAGCACTTTACTAGAACTTTGATCTGCAAAATCATTTTTACAGGTGTTGGAAAAACCAGAACACAAGAAGACGAAGAGAGAGCCAGGAAAAGAAGAGGAGAAGGTAATGTACACTGTAAAAAATGGGCCTAAGTATTACACTTAATTCAACTGAAATATTATGGTAATAGTTCCTGCATCGTAAACATAGGATTGCTTAATTTGTTGTTCCCTTTTAAGCTAAAGCATCGCTTCATATGAAGTCACAAATACTGAGGAATAACAGTTCCTGTTCTTAATTTTCAAATCCCTTGAAATGAAGTAATATTTTCATATTACCCTTCACCAACTGCAGCCTTATCCCTTCTTGGCGATAGCAAGTCTACACCATACCTCTGGCAGTTCAAAGAAGCAGATTCTTATCCTTGGAAAAATTTCGGCCCCTCTGACAATGTTGTCCTGGAAGAGCTTTATTGCAACGTGAACAATGTGGAGGTTGAAATAGAACTTGAAGACACCAAAATAAGGTGAATATGTATTTATTCTTAAACAATAGGGGAAACGTAGCTCATCAAAGGTACAATTTTTAATATTTTTGGCCAGAAACTTTGGTAACCTTAAGATTACAGAGAACATCCAACTTGAAAATGATATATACAGAGACCATAGATCACCGAAATGTTCGGCCGTTTGATTTGTTTTCTTGAGGGTATAGAGCGAGTTCATTTAAAGAAGAATACTGGCAAAATGAATGTCGCAGATGCTCCACAGAAGCCAGTCAATTTCGTGACAAAACTTTATTTCTGTAAAACACTTCAGTAACTTCCCGTACGTTTTATTGCCTCTCTTATCTCGTGCAATACTTTAACATGTGTCAAGGCCTCAGTTAGTTATCATCATTCGGCGGCATGATTGTCTTAGCGACGCAGAATGAGACGAGGGGAAACGGAAAAAGATTGGAAACAGTTGCACTGAAGTACCGCAGTCTGCGAGCGGACTCACACTGGTGCGGCAAGAGAGTAAAGGAGGGGAACGAGAGGTCTGGCACTAATGTTTTCGCCAGAAAAAAGGCGGATCTCTGGCAAGTTCACATTGCTTATCCGCTAAAATGTGCGGGCCTCACCACTCACGATCCACTCTCTGTTTTTTTCCTCTATCGCAAAATATATCGCGCTCTACTTCTAAGTAGCGAGCACCGTAAAACGGAAAAATAAATACACAGACTTCCTATATATATATATATTTATGATTATATATTTATAATTATATATATAATTATATATATAATTATAGATATATATATATATTTAATAAATAGATTCCAAGTTGCCGTGCGTCTGTTCAGTAATAGATCACAGATGATGTCAAAATGTGGTAAGAACAAAAAAGTGGCACACGAGGCGCAGCCGAGTGTGTCGCTGATGTTTTATATAATAAAGAATTTAAAAAAGATTTAATGATGACGTAATCTATACGTCTGTCCTCCAATAGATCGCAAGATAGAACCAATTAGAATGCGTGCATAACTGAGGTTGTTATATAAATATATGTATATATATATATATATATATATAATCCCTTACCTTCAGTAAGGCAAAGGAACAGACTTTCGTTCGAAAAATAAAAGTTTGACGAACAAGATAAAATAAGCATTGCATATGACGGCTTAAGATGAAAATAAAAAGAGAAGAGAAATCCTGAGGCTGAGATTTCATGGTTATGGTTAGTCCAAACTTAAAATCTTAAAACTTCTTTTTTAGCTTTGTTCTGGGGCAAAACAAGAGCAAATTGAAGCATCGTACCTAAATGGAGACCCTGCTTACTACTTTCAAATCGGTCGAAACGCTTACGTAATACATTTTGAAGGTACACTTATGAACCAAAGGAGTGTAGATCCAGAAGTCCAAGCGGTTCGGCTTGTCAGAAGAAGACCAATGTCTACTTCGAATTCAGCACCACAGGCTGCAATGAGGTGAGTGAACGCAGACTGCGCTCTAATTAGGAAGAGTAACCAATTTTTTTTTTTTAAGTCACTGAAAGAGACATTGCTCTTTTGTAAGCGGTCCCGGGACAGAACTAGGCTTTCGATTGATGAAAAGCCGAAACACAATAAGGGTGATGATGATGATGACAATGATTTTTAATAATTGATGGTCTCCATGTAAGTGGATGGTCTGTTCAGCATTGTGGCTTATCCATCAAATCTCCATGAACTCAAGAACGAAAGAAATATAAGGGAACTGGCTGCTCGATTGATATAAAGCAACCCCTGCATTGTTGTCGTCTCAATTGTTATTCGATGGGAAGGGGTCGGGGCGTTCATTATGTGAGGTCTTATCATGTGCTCGTTATCATCTGGGAGGGAGCGTGTTTACTTGTTTCAATGTAAATTTGATTTGGATTTTGTTACAACTATCATCACTAGTTCTTAAAAAGCTAGGTTTTTGTTAAGAGCCAGCACGTATTTCCCTGTAACTGGAGCATGTGATTATCGATGTTCCTCTATCTAACACATCTCATTTTTAGATCGTTTTAGGTATCATACAGGCAAGGCTAAGGATTTTGAACGAAGGCGTTTGAGAAAGCACTGCAAAGAATACTGAACTGTAGGTCAACGTTTTCACGAAACATTGCCGAAACTCAAGGCCTCCATATTGATAGTGGAGAAAATTCGGAATGACGAGTTACGCGAGAGATACGAAAGGTGAGACTTAACTCACTATCTTGTTAGAAGATTTTTACAGAACTTAGTAGGAACAGCCACCCAAGCACGAAGTGCTGAGGCTTTATTCGAAATAATCTTGTTTTTTCTTCTAGTTTGACTATGCCTGAGTCACAGTCGGTCATTATGTTCACATCGCTTCGCCACCAAACGCTTGACAACTACACTCTTTTACCGATTAACATTTTATTTGTCATTTTCCCATTAGTAAGTGCGAACGAATTCAAAGGAAACTAACACTAAGAGGGTACGATGAGATCGAAAAGTTGCTTTTCCATGGCACAACACCAGATGTTGTTGATGCAATCTGCAAACATAACTTTGACCACAGATTGCGAGGGAAGAACGGGACACAGTATGGAGAAGGAAGCTACTTTGCTGTGGATGCCTCCTACAGTAATATCTACAGTAGTGATGATGGCGAGAAGATGAGATACATGTTTCTGGCAAGTGTGTTAACAGGGGAATCAAAGCTTGGACGTAGAAACTTTCGTCGACCGCCTCTAAAAGATCCAAGCAATCCTACTAGCGATTTGTATGATTCTTGTGTTGACGACGAAAATCAACCAAAGATCTTTGTAATTTTTAATGACGAACAGTGCTATCCTTCTTATTTGATTAAATATCACTTGAAATAGGTTTATGTTTCGAGGCCATATGCATCACAATGGTAAACATTCAGGAACAAGCGCTTTCAATAACCCTATCAGTTGCAGGGAGATCACGAAATGAAACCTCATTAAGTAAAGGGAAAATAGATTAAAAAAAAAGATACAAGGACAAACGGAATTTACTACAGAGTGCTATAGCTTGATAGGCCGTAAAATTTTCACAACGTATAGCGTGAAAGAATAAGCTGTCATTCTGTTAAATGGTCAAAATTATAAAAGTTAATTAAAGATCAGAAATCAGAGTTTATGAAGATTTAAGTACATATGTGCTTTTATATTGGGTAACGCAAATAATTAGCGAATAATGTGCATGCTACTTAAGTTTGAATTCCTTCTGTTAAACCTTAAAACGTTTTCAATTTTCCATGGGTTTACCGGTGCAAGGAACGATAGGTTTTTGACCAGTCATGGTGCTCGTATTAAATTTTTTTAAATTGAAATAGTTGTTTTGGAAATGAAAATTCCATGGAGACAAGGGCGAGAATCCGCCACCATTGCAGAAAACATTGAACACTCTCTTTACCAAGAAATGTTCCGTCACGTTTTGAAACTGAACGTATTCATGAAAACGAATGCAAGAATTCCGAGAAAGTGGCAATGTTTTCCCAACAGGAGTGGGGTGGGGAAAATGTCTTTCACTTATATCAGTCGAATTTTTGCTTCTAATAATTATTGATACAGCTTAGAACAACTATGTTTATGCAGTTGAATATCACAACAGCAGTTTTGCGTAATGAAATTATTGAAGATTGTGTTCGATGAATCTACTGCTTGATCAACTTTGAAAAGTGTATTATTCAAGAATCATTATTTTGATTTACCTCTTTGTCTCACACCGTGTCTCAAACCGTGCCCATGCCACCGTGCTTGATTGTTGTCAAGCCCCTCCCGTCAGTCGCTCTCGCGTGATTCATGCCTCATCATTAAAAAAGGCCACTGATCCTTTAGAATCGTCCTCATCGTAATTCAGTAATCCCTTTGTTTTCTTCCTCACAATTCAACTGACTAAATCTCCATCAGCAGTTATAAGTTCATGAGGGAACGCAAGCGGCCTCAACTGTAAGTACTTTTTAGAAATGCTCGGATATTATCCTAGCATTCCTAACATTCCGAGCTGCGCGAGAGCGTCAAAATCCGTGCATATGTCAGAAATGTCACTAAACTTAAAGTACGCCAGATGAGGGCGAATAAATATGAGAAGATAAATAAATTAATGCCGGATATCAAAATGTCATCAGCTATTGCTTTTGTTTCACACGTAATCAATAGTGCCTTTATTCCTCGGCCGGTTCCTTTGCGTTACATTGTAGATTATAAAGAGAAATATATCCACAGGACCTTTCGAAACAGTGAAAGAAACTTAGCAGATACACGATTCCTATTGCTGATATTGAGCTAAATTTTCGACGCAAGATGCCTTTAAATGATGTTTCGATGATACATTACATCCGTAACAAAACAAAGATGATTCTCAACAAGATGGATCACTTCGGTGGACGTTCTTCGACGTGTTACACGGTGGTTGCGGCGATAAAAATTGTCGCCTTATCGTTCATGATTAGTGTTGCAGTCGAGTGCATATTTTATTTTCGACCTTGCTTCTGGTTTTTGTGGGGACTATTGATTTCCCTTGCTCTTTTCACTATTACAATAATAGTGAAAGGCGCAATGTACGTCTTCTACTACGGCTTGAAAATCTTTATGGGATCCATGAAAGTTGCCGTATATTGCCTTAAGTCCACTACGCTATACGCTTCAGACTGGGCCTTAAATTTGAGGATTGATTTGAGAAGTTTTTCGCAACTGTGTTGTTTGTGTAGCATAATGATAATAGTCTTCCACTGGAACAAACATGGCGCAAGAAATGTTTGTGACAGGGTTTCTAACGCCGTTAAAGAGGCCAAAGAGCTCTTCCATTCTACGTTTACCGTCTGCAACTACCACGTAAGAATCATTCAAGGTAAACTGGATCGTTTGAGCAGACGTTCGTCCGCTGGTTGCGTGGCAGCTGCGTTCATAAAGATCTGGGTCATGTTTGTGGTGGCGGCCATTGTTTTAAATTGCGTCTGGGTGACGATTGGAAATTTATTCATTATATGCACCTGCCTCTTCTGTTCAGTTGTGATGGTCATCTTTGGAGACATAAGGAAAATCCTGATGAATCTAGATGCTTTGCTCCAGAATAAACCGATTTCCTTCGGCAAGATTTTTATGGGATTGAGCGACGGTAGGATATGCAACCGACTGCCAATTGATTATTTAGGAGTGACAGACCACCTGACCGCACTAACATCTTGACTGGCTCCCTGACGGTCTAAGCGACCAATCGACTTACTAACTGCATGACTGACCCACTGACTGGTGGATTTTGTGGGTAAGTGACTGGCCAGACAAGCCACCAGTCGACTGAATGACTTAATGACTGGTTGGCTGATCCACTCATTGAGAGACTGAACGACTGGTTGTCTGACTGTGCTGGTAAACTGACTAACACAATGAGAGACTGACTGAATACTTTTCCATTTGATGAGTGACTAACTAACTGAAACCTCGATGAGGATTCTTTAAAGAGCTTATCACCTTCATTTCTTTCAATCTTTGTTCACTTTTTTTATTTCCTTCATTTTCCACATTCCCGTAGTTATTGTACGGTGTGATAGAGATTAGTTGCGGAAGGCATTGTAACTAGCTCAGGGGTTATCACACGGATCCCCAAATCAAGGGATTCTAGGATGAGTATCAACAAAGTTCTAGTTGCTAAATGTTATTTGATCTCTCTTTGAAATTATTACCCACTCAGAAGTTGTGACCTCTTTTCAAACCCTTTTCTTTGCAGCTGGTGGTGAGTCCTTTCCTTACTTTTGGCAGTTCAAAGAAGAAGATTCCTATTTGTGGAAGAACTTCGGCCCTTCTGACGATGTGGCTTTGGAAAAGCTCTACTGTGACGTGAATTATCTGCAAGTTACATTGAACCTTACCGATACTGTGTTGAGGTAAGTCACTGAGGTTAGACAGGAAGAGCAAGAGTGAGAATCTCACTGTTTATAATGAGATAACAGTTTTGAGTTGAGCTATGGGGAATGCAAGAATTGCGATAACAGGATTCCGCATGTATCATTTATCAGCATGCAACAATGATAATTGGTGAACGTTGATATTGAACGGCTTTGAAATGTTATTATTTAACCATGAAAAAGTCAAAATTTTGAACAAAAATTCTTTCAGTCGGGTTCTAAACTTAAGAAGGTTTGATCTTGTACTCTGATATTCCAGGTAAGAGTAGTTCCTGAGATGGTCTGTCCTTAGCAGCGACAAATGTTTCAACAACCTGAGCGCTTAAAGCGGTTCTTTGACTCTGATAATGTTCTTCCTAGAGTTAGGTGAAGACTTCCACCAATTTGTCTAAATTTTATTAGCTACAAATGACAACAGTCCTCTTTAGGATTACTCTGCAGCGGATAATCAGAAGATACATACGAATTTTTTCTTAGGGGTCAAACCATCTATTTATAAGAGGTTCATCAAAGTAATGGAAAGATTATGCAAGAGCTCATTTCTAGAAACGTATTTCAACACCATAATGTTTGATAGAATATGACTTGTATTTATTTATTTGAGTGGAAATATTTCGGCTAAATCGCTCGGCCCTCACCAGTTTTTTGAACTGTTAGTGGTTGTACAACATTGAACTACGTAACCAATTGCTCAAAGCGACGCCATACTGCTCAATGTTGTGAAATCACAAACTCTCCAACAGATTAAAGAGCGATTCAGCCGAAATATTCCAACGGGGTTTAATAAGTTCCGGTTAGCTTTTTTTTGTATCTCATGTCTTCGCTGCGTGAAAGTAACATGTTTGTTTCTTTTTCAACACTGTCTCACCTCGAGGCCCAGGCAAATTATTTTTCATTATCTTTATCATAATTTGAAACGATCGCTCCGTTGTCGTTGGGGTAATACCGTTTTTTCTTCTTCTTCCTAGTGCGTCATCATCACAGGTGACAGTTCATTTCGAGGAGATGTCCATGCGCTCGCCCCCCTCTGCCCAGTTCTTGCTCCGTCGATGCTCAACACCATCTTACATACAGGAGCCAAACAACAAGTCATCCACACAGTGGGTCTGGTATTGGGCAGACAACGATGGTTGGAAGAAATACACTGAAACGATGGTAAGTAACAGTCGGGCGAAATATCCTGTTATAGTATTATTCGAGTGGCTTTACCGTCATTTTGTTTCTCAGTTGGGCCAGGAGGGTTTTTCATAACAAAATGCTTGTACTTGAAAATTGGCGAAAGTCTTTGTTTGATAGGGTCTGATCGTGTGGTCTGATCTTCAAGTGGTCCCTCAAAAGGACTGTACATAAAACAACCATAACACTATGGCCACTGGCTTCTTGCTAATGGGATAAAAATTGGGATACTGGCTGGGCAACTGACCTCTTGTTAAAGTGTGCTAATGCAATTAATAAGTCAATAAATAACAGGGTTAAATGATATTTATGCATGTGGCATTAAGTTGTTTGCAAACTGAACCAGAGTCAAGACAGACCTAGAGTTCTTTATCTACTCTTTTAGCAGTCGTCTGGGACAAAGCAAGAACAGATAGAGGCTGCCTATTTAAATGGAGAAGGCTTCTATCCCTTTCGAAGCGGTTCTCACAATTACATTCTCACATTCTACGAAACGCCTATGCACCAGATAAATATCGACCCAAACCTCCAGACCAGGCGGTTCGTAAGAAGAAGACCTGTGTTTGTTTCAAAACCAGCTTATCGCGCCACAAAGAGGTAAGTGAACGTGGATTGTGCTGTTGCTATTATCACTTACTAATATATATGCAATCAGAGATAGAGGGACTCGCTTGGCTCAATTAACTTGAAGCGTTGCAGTCATGATTGTAATCTGATGTAAGGGGTTTTGGGACTCGTTGAGTGGTAAGGTCATCACCATCAGGTAATGAGCCTGCATACCTGTTAAACATTACGATTTAAGGTTTCCTAAAGGAATACATCTGCGTCCTCTCATCTCAATCTTAAGCGTATGGCCTTTCGTGTTCCTCTAATATGTTCCGTTTTTATTACAATTCTAGTTATCTGAGAGGCAAGGCTATAGATTTTGAACGGACTCGTTTGAAAGAGAACTGCGGAGAATACCAAGTTGCGAGTCAATTTTTTCACGAAACAATACCAGAAGACCAGGCTTCCATAGTGATGGTGGAAGAAATTTGGAACAAAGAGTTACATGAGAGATACGAAAGGTGAACTTATAAAACGGTTAATATTGTATATAGAGAGGGATAATGTGCGCGGAACTTGCAAAGGACGACTACACATCATATATCTGAAGCTGACTTCACATTGATTTAGTTTTTTGTTATGTTTTAATTACATCTAAGTGAAGTTTGGTCCCTTAAAATCGGAGCTTTACAAAAACTGTAAAAAAAAGTAAGAAAATGAAAAAAAAACCCCAAGGATGGAAAAAAATAATTTTTTTTTAAAATCAGTGACGTCAAAAAGCCGTGTGATCTTTTTCACACTGCCCTGCGAAGCATTCTGCATACTGTATGCTTTGGACCAAGGAAGTGCTTTTTGAACATATCACTCTTTTAATGATTACAAGTAAAATTGCCGCAAAACGAAAGCGCATTGATTGCATGGACAAATTTCTTGCTTTAGATTTCGGAGCCAAGGTTCAGTTTTCCAATTTTTCCTAATTATTTTATACGGGGCTCAAAAATTAAACAGACCACTTTTATCTGTTGCCGATGATGATCTGGTATAAAACAGCGAACAATGAAGATGGCCTTAAGTAATTATAGTTTTCTCAACTGAGTATATGATCTGTGCTGTTTGAGCACGCGCCTTGGAATTAAATAGCCCCTCAACCTTTTGCATTGTAAACGTTCATTTATTAACCCTTCTTTAATCGTTTCTTCATCTAGTAAGCGGAAAAGAATCAAAAGGAAACTGAAAGCAAAAGGGTACGGTCAGATAGAAAAGTTGCTATTCCATGGTACTTCATCAGATGTCGTTGATGCCATCTGCAAGCAGAACTTTGATCACAGATTGCGAGGAAAGCATGGGACAAAGTATGGAAAGGGGAGCTATTTTGCTGTAGACGCTTCCTACAGTAATAACTACAGCGGTCTAGGTGGGGATAAGACGAGATTCATGTTTCTAGCAAAAGTTTTGACGGGGGAATCCAAGCTTGGAATGCCAGATTTTCGTCGACCACCTCTGAAAGATCTAAGCGATCCTGCCAGCGATTTGTACGATTCTTGCGTCGACGACGAAAATCAACCAAAGATCTTTGTCATATTTAATGACGAACAATGCTATCCTTCCTATCTAATTCAATATCAGCTGTTATAGTTTTTAGTATCAAAGTCAGATGAATCAAACTACAGAAGAAAGTCAGTCACAAGTACATTAACCCGATCATCTCCAAGGCGATCGTCATATAAAATTCCATCGAGTTTAGTAAAAAAATGTATCACTTAGCCAGAAAATAAGTAAAGAAAAACTTTTATCGTTGTAGCTGTTAAAGTCAGGTAAATCAAACTAGGGAAGGTCGGCCACAAGTGCGTTAACCTGATCAGTTACAGGTAGATCATAAAATGAAGTCCATTGAAAGAAATAAAAAATTTTTTAATGAAGAATAAGTAAGTAAGTAAAAACAATATGCACAAAATAGAGAAAACAGGTGAGAATACAAGTCTAACGTACTATAAAGGTCTCACAAAGTGCTTTGGAGAGAAAAGTATAGCGATCAAGAGAGACTTTGTTACTGTCTAGATATTGATTCTCGCGCATGTCAAAAGATCTACAACACACGTGCTGAAATTTGTCAGCATAATGCTATTTTGGACTAACCATCGTCAAAATTTCTTAGGGATAAATTGACATAACTTTTTCATTCCTTAAAAGAAAGAATACTTAAGAGTAGAAAGTAGATTAAAGGCTCCAAATAAGGTTTTCAGTCAATAAGCTGGGCGGCGGTGTAGTCATAGGGATGTTTGTTGTGTTATCATTGCGATCAAATGTAATCGTTCCGGAAGTTTAGTAATTGTTGTTGATAGTAATATTTCACTGTCAATATTACTCTGATTTGATGTTTTATGTACCTGCAGAATGGATGTCGTAAGTTAAGGTCCAAGACCATGCAGAAAATTCAAATTACTATTTGCGGGTGTATATTTGCTTGCAGGTATGATAACCCACAGTGCGCTGCTATGCTTTGTGTACCGTTTTTCATTACCAGGTCAAGTGCCTCAGCTCTGTCTGAGAAAACAAATAATGAGTAATTCTAAGAAACGACTGAAATCGGCTAATATGTAAAAACACTTTTTGCCCCCCTCCCCCCAAAAGATTGAAACGAAAATACCCTGTACGTGTGTTTTCGTTGCACTGGATGTTTCGTTCCCAGTTATTGGCGAAGGATATACAATAAATTATTACTCCTTTTATACCATAAAGAAAAAGGGGGTTTTCCCGTGACTTATGCGTTACATCAGTGTCTCAGTGTCTATTCATTCGATCGGCCAGACGTAGTCATATGAATATCAAATGACGGGTGTCACCTAACTGACTCATTTCACTCATTGATTATTCTCAGATAGTGACCTCGCTCTAAATACTGCTTGGCAAACAACTTCATACATCACGGCCGTCGCACATGCGAATCGCTTTACTTTGTGGACTTACATTATATTTTGGTGCCTATGAAATTACAGAGAAAACAGTGAAAACTGGACTTACCGTTGTCAAAACCTTTCTTTCATAACTTGTGAAAAAAACTTTTGTCAGGTTCCCAAATCCAATTTAGAGGAAGAATATGTCCCTTACCTTTAAGCAATATTGTTTACAAAGAGTTGATGAATCGACGGTTCTCAACGCTTTTGAGACAAGTTCCCTGGTGCTCATGTTTGATGTCCCGAAATCTAAATCTCTTGTTTGAGTTAAGCGGGACAACAACAATATTTCGCTATCCAGGGTGAAAGGACCCAGTTATTGTTTACAATATCATTATGAACTCAGTAAGCAGTAGTCTTGACTGAAACTTACTCTGCCTGTCAAAAAAACTCTCAGAAATTTCGGATAGAAAATGGCTGGCGTACAAAGTCTATTGTGACCCTCTCAAGGGGCATCCTTGTAGGGTTTACCAGAATACCATTTTCAACAGCAGTAAGTTTTGGTGACAATGACAAATTCAGGTGCACTCTTACAGGAAATTTAATCCTGATACCATATCTATTTTTGTCTAAGCACTGATCCCATAAATTGTGAAAATTGCACTGGTCAAAGTCCTGCTTCTCTAGCATAATATATTTGCTATTCTCTGCTAGCTCGACCTTTCCCATGTAATAGGAACCGATAATAGTCACGGTGGAAAACTTTACTTTTTAATTTAGATGTAATTGCCAGGAGTAGGAGATCTATATTTTTCTGCAGACGAGCTTATGGGATCTCTGGTCTTTCAAATATCCTGAATAAACACATGGCAGTGTAAGCTTTTTTGTTTTGGCCCGAGGCAAATTCTTTGGTATCTCATCAGAAAATATAACGTAAGGTGGTACTCTAACAATACATACATCGTACCCCCCTACACTACACTAATTTAAATTAATTTTATAACCATTGTCCTTTGATTGATAATGCATTATACCCTAAGGTGTACAAACTTCTTCGTTAAAAAAGACCCAAAGCAGTTCAATGAACAGTTGCAGAAAATAAACCATCTCCTAGATTTTATTTTGTGGTAAAAATATTCCTACATAATTTTTTATTTAAGTTTCCCACATTTTGTGATTAATTAAGCAACAGTTTGTAAAAGAAAGTACTAACAGATCACTATAAATCAGTAGCACTACGTTGCAGACATTCCAACCCTTCCGATTTGATCGGGAGTTTCCCATGCAATTTGATGTGTTGCCTCCTTTTACCGGGTTCTCCTGATTTATTGTAAAATTCTTATAACAAAGAAAAAATTGCTTCTCTTTTAAGAATTCCCTGCGATCTCAGTGTAAAACGTTACGTACTACACTTTCCTATCCCATTCTTTATTTGCACTTGACATCGGCATAAATTAAATTACACTTACTCTCTTTATTTCGCCTCAAAAGAGGTTGGAATGTCTGATGTTGATCTAGAATTCTCGAACAAAATGGTAAAGTCTTTTATAATTGACAACAATCTGCAAACACGTTGCTGACCTCTCAAAGAAACCATAATCACAATGCTGCCTGAACATTCAAACTTTATTTGTCGTTAAACATATAGAGCCAATCCAAAAATCAGTGCAATTTCCTGCCTCTAACCACCTCAAGAACCTGCCCGATTTCCGACATACGCTCATCATCTGCCGTCGACACATGATGTGGATCGAAGAGGTCGATCATAAGCCTTCGACTAACGGTATTAAGTTTCAAATTAATCACTAACTGAGTTCACATTTTACCCGACCCTCCCCACGCCAGCGCATAATGTTTTGGTCGAAAGTCGGTACAAACCAGCCCTGGCGTGGGGAGGGTCGGGTGAAATCTGAGCTCGGTTAGTGATCAATTTGAATTTTAATACTGTTTATCGGAGAATTATGATCGACCTCTTCGGTCCGCATCATGTGTCGACGGCAGATGATGAGCGAATGTCGGAAATCGAGCAGGTTTTTGAGGTAGTTAGAGGCGGGCAATTGCACTGATTTTTGGCTTGGCTCTTACATGTTTATCGACTTTTAACGTGCCCGAAGAGAGGTGAGCGACATTTGGAAGTGGAAGAAATTCGATGAAGTTCTGGAGGCTTTCGGCCCAGACAGTCCAAGAAGTTGCACGCCTTGTGTTTTTCCTTTGCCTTTGGAGAGGCATCAGTGCAAAGTGGGGAATTAACCGTCCCAAAACCCCGCAGAGTCACTAGAGAAAACACAGAAAAATGAAGGTAAGTGAATTTATTTATCTTTCTGTCCTTAAGCGGATTTTGGGGATGAAATGTTACGATTTGCGGAATTTATGAAACATTTCCCGGGATCTTTTGCGTCTTGCCGAGATCGACCGTTGCAAATTACAAACAATGTAAGAGTTCAACCAGTGCATCAAATAACTGACGTAACGCGGCCTCAAACCCACAGAGTTGTCTACCTGTGGGTGATCGCTGACAACATGTGCGTCAGCAACAACAACCGCTGTCTGAATGAAATTGTCAGGATGTACGGCAGATGTAACATTTTTTTGACAAGGATGAAAGAGTATGACAAGTTTACCAACATTTCCAACTCTGTGGATACTCATGGTGTTTGCAGGCTCTTCGGATAAGGATGTCTTAATGATCGAAGAGGGAAGAAAACGCGAAAAAAACCTGAAAATTTTGAGTTTCAGATTTGATTTACTGAAGATCAAGATGTGCACATGAGACAACAAACCCTGAAGGTTAGTCATAAGATGTTGATGTTTTACTTGTAAGAATCGCAAAGTTGTATGTAGAGACGATCGTGAGATATTTGTTCCGATAAAAGAAGTTAATGTAGAATGTGAACTTATTTTACTTCAACTTTGAAGTAAAATTGTATTAAGTTCGAGGTGGCCCCCAAGCTTCAAATCACTTCAAATAACATCGTCTTTTCTCTCTCTTCGTAGTCACATAGGACACAGGGCTTTAAAAAATGTTCCAGCTACAGGATTGAGTTCCTCTTACTGTAACCTTCGGCGACTTCGTTTTTGGGAGGTTTAGGTGGTTTTTCCAAGCCATGGCTCACAACTGTCTTTGGCCATTTTGCTCTCCAAGTCTGCTGTACATGGTATGGAGGTATGTATCTTAACAACGATTATATTCTTGCCTCAATCATCTCCGGTTTTATCTTTGTCTTTTTTGCTACGTTTTGGTGGGAATTTTTCTAATTACCTTTTTGGGCTTAAAGTGTTAACTAGAGGATAAACTTCGTTAGAACTTATTTATCACATGGCCCCACATTCCCTAACCACTGTCAGTTTATTGTTTATTAATTTAGCTTCCGCACTGTAAAATGAGGTGTTGATTTGGCCTAAAAAATGGGGCCAAAACGAGTGAGTCCAGTTTGGTACTGGCTTGGGGTCAATTCGGCCCTATTGAAATGGGGTTGTTTTTGGCACCAGTTTTTGGGCTAAGTCGACCCAATTGTAAGGGCCAAATTGGACCATGTGAAGGGCTAATTTGGAAAATTCCGGAGCCACATTGGAATTTAAAGGGGCCAAAACGGCCCCCAAAATTTCAGCCCTCACAAATGACCCCCTTAAAATAGCCAATTCAGCTCAAATGTGGGCCACTTCAGAAGTAAGTTCTCCATGCTGATTTCCCCCCTTTCAGGCAAATAATGAAAATACACCACATACTTTATCTTTCAAACACTCATTCAGTAGGTTCTAGATGTTGTTCATGTAAAAACCTTTTACAGTGCATGATTTTACAGTTATTAGGAATCTTAATTGTAGTACAAAACAGACAAACTTTGGAACATCATGTAAAAGAATAGAAGATACATACATATTTAACATTAATTCAACCATTTTCAAAAATAGATCTCTTCCCTTAATCAGTATACTTCTTAACAGAGCAAGCATTGCAAGAAATTACACCCAAGAGACACTTGTGAGTAAAGCTTCCCTTTTCAATGACTTAGCAAATGTGGTAATGTAAAGCAGCTTATAATCAAGACTGATTTAAAGTACAGAAAATTATCAAAATAAGTCAGAGGCAACAAATGGTCCAGTTCCTGCACAAGAATATAGATCTTGTTTGATTTGTGCATATGAAAACTAAATTAGAGCAGCATTGAGTATTCTTCCAGTGGATGTGAGAATACATGCACTCATATTGCTACTTTAGATGTTATCAAAATATAAACTTCCACTAGTACTACCTTAGGCATTTGCCAAGTCATTGAAAATGGAGGAAACAGTGACAAGAGTCTGCCTGTGCCCAATTTCAAGCAATGCTTGCTCTAAAGAAGTCAAAATTGCCTTTGACTGATTATAAGAAACATTGAAAATATAAATTACCAAAGTAACCCAGTGAGAGCATCAAGAATTTTTTCCTATGGAAGGCGACATATTACACTTCCCTCTGTTATTATATACAGGAGATCGATGAATGAAGATCTCCAACAATTACAACTTGTGCTGAACATAATCTCTGATTGCTGAATCAACATCACCTTCTCTATACAATAAAAACAAAGTTTACAACCATAGTAAAATAAAGCCAGAGTGCAAAAAGTGCTTATAGCCTGTAAAAATTACCTGCAAGTCTGCCATTTTTATTTAGTCACTTTCCCCTCATTTCATTCTATTTACTCAGATTACTCCCCTCATTTTGATTTATTTACTCATATATATAGGATGTTCTTCTAAAACTATAAGCCTAAACACTAGAAATGGAAGTGGA